TTTCACAATGTAATGTGAAATTCACATTTATGATTCATTTAAAGTTTCTGAAGAACGAAACAAGATAACGATTTTAAATAAAAGAGCATTTATAATTCATTTATGTATATTTTTCTAAAATATTTTAAACAAAATGCCGCTTCCAGTGACATCAACTTTGTAAATTTAAATAGAACACCCCATATATTTACATTTTTAAATTCAGTATAAAATTCTGAGTAAAATTACTATACCATTATAAAAAACCTTTCGATTAATTTTACTGCATCCTATACCTAATAATTTTAGAGATATTTAACAATTACTAAAATTTTAAATATTATTTTGTATCAAGAAACCTGTGACGGGTGAGTTGACGGTAAAATTTAATGGCGTCAATTTCTCAGGTTGTTATAAACAACTTGTTGACCAATTAATTGTTTTGTAAACAATATTACTGATAAAAAATAGCAGTCAATCACTTATAAAAAACCTTGACAAGACCACAATTGTGGACAAGACAAACATTTTAAAAATTTTAAAGTTATACAAACAGTATTTGCTAATTTTGAAAAAAAACTCAACAATGGTGTAAAATTATTAACTTTTTGTAGGGTAAAGTAGACAGTTATCGAACACTTTATAGTTATTGGACAATTAACATTAATACTGTAAAAAAGAGTTCTATAAATAGTTACTTTAAAGTCATTAGATGACGATGTATACAATTATAAATAAAGAACTACTTTATTTTGGGTCCAATATAGGACAAAAATGTTCGCACGTTACTTTGGTGGTAAGATTTTTGGTTTTTTGTTAAGAGCAGGGCTGTGTTTAAATTACAACAAAAAATATTTCTAAAAAGTGTACAGATCAGTGTGTGGTGTAAATGTTCCTGGTTTAAACATTGCCACTTTAATGCGTTTTAATTTTAATTCTGAAACCAAACAGTGTCCAATTACTGGTTGGTAAAAAATGTAAATTCAATATCCAATATTACTCTATTTGTATCCCGGATCTTTATTAGCCAATTCTTATGTAAAATTGTGTCCTGAATCCGAAAAGCCCGTCAAAAACTATAAAAGTTAAGCAGTTTTTGAGATATAGTAAAATCCATATTATATGTAAAATTGATTATATTTCAAAAACTGTTCTACTTTAATAAATTTTGACGACATTTTCGGATTCAGCGAACAATATTTCATAGGAATTGACTGCTAAATGTCCTGGATACGAATTGCTGTTGACGAGAATTATTAGTGGTAGTAAGTAATATAGTTATTTCTTCGTCACAGGACATCTTGCAGAATAACAGTGATTTAAATCCAGTGCATGATAGAGAACATGAAAAACTAATGGCAACAAAATTAATAAATTCGGAAAATACTATTAAAATACCACCCGAAAAAATACTATCATGTTCCGGCCTAAACATTATAAATGCTTCACAAACTAGAGATACCACACTGATAATTGCAACAAACTATTTCAGAAGTCAGACGAAGGAATTAGTAGTTACTTTCAGATTTTATGATATATACAAAAACGAAATAAAAATAATTACCTAAAACAGCAATTTATTTTTCAAAAAATCAACAATTTATGTTATTTGATGTAAAGTTGTTATATTTATATCAAAATTGTATGTTCAGGGACCCCCTCCGTTATTTACCAACTTGTTTTTTACATTTATTTTTTTTTCTCAGGAGCAAGTTAATATACAGCAATAAGTGATACATATTTTGAACGCTGTACAAAAAAGCTCTCCTATGATTTTTCGATAAATTTACTGGTTTAAAAGTTATTTAAGGTTAAAATTGAACATAGTAATTTTTTGATTTTTTTACTTTGCAAAATTATCATTATTTTTTAAAAATAAATTGTTAATTTTTGAAAATATGTGATTTTATTGTATTATTGAAAAAGTAAAAATTATTGAAAAGATATAAGTGAAAATTATTGACGAGAGATTCCGATAAATTAAAAATTGTTTATTATATTAAAAGACTATAGTTTTACTCAAATTTAGAACGATTACTTTTTTTACATAATCTTTTTATTTCTGTGAAATTTTACAAAATTTTATACGATTTTATAAAATATTGTTACAATTATTACGAAAAAATAAAATTTGTAGTTAAGCATGCGCACTAAAGTATGATTTAGTACTTTGACCACAAAAGGCAGAAGTCGCACTTCACAGATTTCGTGTCGCAAAGTTGAAGTTTGAACTATAGGTCAATCACCCATCGTCTGTGGAATCTTTTATATAATAGTATAGGTATTATGTATCAAGTTTTATAAACGCCATTTTAGTTACGAGTTTTATTAGGCACGAGCGAAGCTTATTAAAAACGAGTGTCTAGATAAGTTTATAAAGCGAGTTGCATACTAAGTATACTTTATCTACAACGAACACAAAGAAGAATTTTAACATTTGACATCTGTCAAATGTCAACGGAATTAACCTCGCTTTTCTCTAATATATAATAAAGCTAATTTCAGCCTGTGACTAAAATTCCCAAAAGCCAACTTCCCGTGACTAAAGCGCCATAAAGTCACAGCTCGTAAATGTAAAAGTGGTTAATAGTATATTATGTATCAAGTTTGATAAACGCCATGCGAGTGCTTAAATTAATGAGTGTATAGAAAAGTTTATAAACGAGGTGCCTACTATACTTTTTCTACGACAAATACTTATTATTTTCTTAAAATGAATCTGTGTGTCACCGTCAAATGTCAAATTTTTACATTTTATAAACACAATTATAAAGGTTATAAATCGAAATGTATTTCTTGAAAATTGACAGTTTTTCACAGTGAAAGTAAAGAAAATGTTTTATGAGCACTTTACATTGGAGTCCGTGCCCAAATTTAAGTTATAGTTTACTGCCGGCGAAATTAAAAGGTCAGTACAATGTTCTTATAAACTTTTCAAATATTGGCGTTGAGAAACTATTTAATACTTTCGTATTTTTGTATTGAGATAATAAAATAATTTTCACATTTAGTATTATTTTACAAGAAAGGCACTTTATTTTAATGATTGTATGACATTTGACAACTAACTTAAAACTAACTTCAGCCCGTGACTAAAAACCTGTTGCTAACTTCAGCCCGTGACTAAAGCGCAATAAAGCCATAACTTGTCAATGTGTATTTAAAAGGTCACTTAGTGTCACGGAAATATTTACGATAAAGGGCGTTTTAAAGGTGGGAGTAGAAAAATACATTAAACTTATTTGAAAAGGATAATTGGTGTAGCGGAAATGTCTGCATCTCATACTCAAGTCAACCGTAACTACGAATTTTATTTTGTCGTAAAAATAATTATAATTGTTAAAAGAATTTCTACGTCATTAGCTGTACTGAAGGACAATTTTTTAGTGTATAATATTTTATAAAATTTTGTAGAATTTCACAGAAATAAAGAGATTATGTAAAAAAGTAATCGTACTAAAATTGAATAAAACTATTACCAGATTTGCTTAATGTAATAAAAAAAATTGAATTTATCAAAATCTCTTTTCAATAATTTTTACTTATCTCTTTTCAATAATTTTTACTTACGTCTTTTCAATAATTTTTATTTTTTAAATAATACAATAAAATCACATATTTTCGTAAGTAATATCATAAGGGCATTTAATTTTTCCGAAAAAAATCGAAAAAACACGTTGCTAAGTAATATTTTAACAAAAAGCATGAGTGCTTGTGGCAACAAAAATCCGAGTCGAAGAGGAGGATTTTTGCACCTGCACGAATGCATTTGGTTAAAAAATATTACTTAGCATTGTGTTTTTTCGATTTTTTTCACAGGAAAAATTAGATGCCCGAATGGTATTTGACAAGACTATTTCTGTGGGTAAAAGGCATAAGGGGATAAGTCAAAAAAGCAATTTTTCAGTAGAGCCTTAAACGTATTCGCATTAATTCAGGAAACATATTTGTGGTTAGTGGGTATACCCTTTTGTTAGCACATGTCATATGCTAACAAAAGCGTATACCCGCTAAACATAAATCAATTTCCAGAATTAATGCGAAATGCGATCACGTTAAAGGCTCTATTGAAAAATTCCTTTTTTTGACTTATCCCCTTATGCCTTTTACCCACAGATTTCATGAGTAACAGTAAACAATTAAAATATAAATTGCAATTTTTGTTGACAACAGCTGACAAGTTTTGCCGCGGGTAAACTTGAATAAACTGCTGACAGGTGCTGTCATACAGTTTTTCCACCTAGAAACCATTTGTAATTCAAAATTGCGCGTTTGTGATTGTTCGAAATTAAGACGAGGAAAATAGTCAAAAATAAACAATCCATTTTCATAAAAATAATTATAATTTTGCAGTCAAAGTAAAAAAAATCGAAAAAATTACTATAAGTTTTATATAACCTTAATTAACTTTTAAATCAGTGAATTTATAAAAAAATCATAGGAAAGCTTTTTTGTATAGCGTTCAAATACAAATATGTATCTCTTTTTGCTGTATATTAACTTTCTTATTTAAATGGAAAATGTATCAACTTTGTGGCACGGTTTAATATGAATATTTTTTTTATAATTTTTATAATAAATTTTTTTAGGTCATAAACTAAAAATTAAGAGGGCGCTGCGAACAAAAAAACCAAGCTGGTAAATAACGGACACCCTAATGTCCAATAACTATGGTCCATGTGTCCAATTACTATATAAAATGTCCAATTACTATTCTTTTTTAAATGTTTTTATAAAACTATTATTAAAAATTCAAATATTCCTATTCTTAAGTAAACGTAAACAAACTATTCTTTTTACTTGGAATATACTTTCTATCCTCACTTTTGCACTCCGCCTTAACATCACCCGGTATAACATTTTTCGTTAAATCAACTAATTTTTCTAGGGGGCATATCTTTGTACACCCCGGTATAGTAAGTTCGTATGGGGGTAAACTCGTATCATTTCTAAAGAATACCTGTATAATAAAAAAATATATAAATTTATTATATTATTATGTATTACATTCCATAGTATACCTGTACCCCAAATTCATTTTCTTGATTCTTCGATAGTTCCAATAATACGGCCGACCCATAATTTGGTACTTGTGGATCAAATATTTTTAAAGCACCCAGTAAATAGGCTATATTGTAATCGTGTGTCATGTATAAAAACGCCTTTCTTTTCTTAGGTTCAATTGTGCCGTCCCTTTTGGCCTTCCAGTCGTTTAGAATTTTTTTCAAAAGTGGACCTTAAAAAACCATTGTAAACACGAGTGTGATTTTTTTAAATGCAATTACCTCCTCTCAAACGCCTTAGTTTATCGTTGTAAGTTAAGATGACGTAATTTAGGTCAGACAAATATTTCATTTTATACATAAATTTGTCAGCCCAGGCAGGCATTGTTAAATTAAATAATTTCTAAAAAAAATATAGTTCTAAATTAACTAAATTAAAAACAATAATATTTTACCTTTGTTTCTAAAATCGAATAAAGATCATGTACATCATTAAACGTTTTTAAATCTTTTCCAGTCAAATCTTGCAACATTTTTACAATTTTTTCGTTTTCCCTGCATATTTTTTGTACTTCTTTCGATTTAACAACTTCTTCCATTTCCCTATCATATTCCTCGCAAGGCGTTATGAAGAAAAGTAACTAAAATAATATATATATATATATATATATATATATATATATATGCAACATTTTAATTAAAAAAGCCCTTTATTTGGGTTTTTTGGTTTTTAAATTGTAATGCTACCAGGGGCTTAACATTTATTATATAATTTTTTAATTTAAAATTTTATTGCTTTAAAATTTTCCGAACTAAAAATTTTAGCTTAACATTTATAAATTTAAAATATATTCAACTATCATGTATTAAAAGACAAAATTTTAGAGATGGGAAAATTCCCATTTGACGAAAATTCCCGGAAACTTTCCATCGAAAATTCCCGAAATTTTCCGAAAGTTTCAAAAAAATTTTTTTATTGCGAAAATATTTTTTTTATGCCAGGGATTTGCAAAAATATTAACACATTAACTTTTTGTCAAATTTTTGGTTGCATTAACGACATAGATTTTCTTACAGAACTTGCTTTGAGCATGGTCTTTTTTGTTTTTTTGCACTATTTTGTAATAATTCCAAACACTAGATTTGTCTCTTGGCATTGTGCTTTGCTTATAAATAAACAACAAAAATGTAAGAATGATTGACTTTGTTTATTGTATTTATTTTGTTTACCTTTTTTTAAAAAAAGTTTTTTGTGTTGATGCTGAATAATCCGGCTTCATTGAGGTTATGTAACATAACTTACATTATTTATACTTCTTCTTCTGCTTTAAATTAAGACAAATTAAATTCTTATTCAAAGTTTCTTGGCCTTGTATCATGGCCTTAACGAAAATCAGTGGTTAAACAATTGACATTTAAATGAAAAAAAACAAGGAAAGTTTCCAAGGAATGTTTCCGGTAGCTTAAAAGAAACTTTCAAAATGAAAATAAATTCCCAAAAGGAAACTTTCCAAAACGGAAAGTTTCCTTAAAATGGAAACTTTCCGATTCCCATCTCTACAAAATTTACTAACTAACTAACTAACTTCTGTATGAAACGGTGTTATTTCCTATCATTTTTTAATAAAAATAATTGTAAAGTGTAAAGGTAGCTTTAGTAGAAGGCAAAAGTAGGGGGATCTGAGCCACGATGCAGCCAGTTTGATCAGCAGTGTTGCCAAATTGTGCTTGCTCCATAAATATTTGACGCGTTTTAAAAATTATCGTAATGAAATGTTTCTTTATTACATACATTTTACAACATTTTTAGTGCCTATTGTACTCTCTAAAAATGAATTAGTCAAAAATGACTAATTTAATAGTTATTAGTGGCTGCTTTTTCACTTATACCATGGTAAAACCATGGAATACCATGGTATCCCAAAATTTAAAAACCAATTCTTATGTAAAATTGTCCCCTGAATCAAAAAGAATCGTGAAAAATTAAAAAAGTAGAACAGTTTTTGAGATATAGTCAATTTTCCATTTAATATAGAATTGACTCAAAAACTGCTCCACTGCTAATAATTTTTGACGGTATTTTCGGATTCAGGGGACAATTTTACAAAAAAATTGGCTGTTAAATTTTGGTATACAATGGTATGCTATGGTAAACCATGGTACTTACAAGTGGAAAAGCAGTTAGTTAATTAGTAAGTTAATTTGACAATTTTTCCGGCTTTTGAGGTGAGGTTAAGAGTTAAGCCTGATTTATAGATTGTCTTCCTTCCTTCCTCCCTCCTCCCGTAATAGATGAACAATACGAAAGCCGTAGTGCCGTTTATAGATTCCCGTACGGGATTGTATTGTTCATCTTCTACGGGAGGAAGGGAGAAAGGCAATCTATAAATCAGGATTAACACTTAACCTCACCATAAAAGCCGAAAAGCGGGAATTTGTATGATGCATCCACGTAATATAGTATATTACACTACAAGGGCAGAAAGTGTGAGATTCCTGTACTGCGCGCCATGATGCCCGAGGCGAAGCCGAGGGCATCATGGCGCGCAGTTCAGGACTGTCACACTTTCTGCCCGTGTAGTGTATACTATTTTTCTTACTACCTCGGCAGAAAATACGGGAAAAAATTAAATGTATATAAAAAAACTTGTGTCAAAATTAAAATCTGACGTTTAATTTAATTCTGACGTTTACATTCAAAATCAATCAAACTGTAGCGTTGTCATGGTAATTCAGCGGTGCGAATACAGTAAAAATAAAAGGTTTTATTTTAATTAACAAATTACTACTTTATAACAAATTACTACTTTATAACAAATAAAAGTACCATTAAACACTTAAAACAACATAAAAAGTAAAAAAGTAAAAACATAAATTGTTTATTTGTTGTTATAATTGCAAAATTATGGTTAAAACTGTCATATTTTTGTGTTTCTCATGTTGGCAGTACGAAATTTGAATGTTAAGCACACGACTAAAAAATTTTTACTCCCGCTATTAGAGTGTGCGCGTATAGCTTGAGCAATGCAAGAAACGTAAACTTTCTGCCGTGGAATCGGGGACGAAACAACGTATTTTGAGTCGAGGTAGTAAGAAAAAAATTTTTCTCTTAAAAATTAGAAAAATGTTTTTTAGATGTCAAATTAACTTAGTACAATAGGCACTAAAAATGTTGTTGTTCTATTATCAAATTTATTTAATAAAGAAAAATTTCAATACGATAATTTCTAAAACGCGTAAATATTTATGGAGCAAGCACGATTTGGCAACACTGCGGATTAAACTGGCTGCATCGTGGCTCAGATCCCCCTACTAAAGCTACGTTTACACTTTGTAATTTAAAAATTATCGACATTTAAATGTAAAGTTATAAATTTTGTCTTAAAAATGTATCACTTTGCAATTGTTAAAAATAAAAAAATTTGGTTTAAATTTGTAAAGAGTTATTTAAATGATGGTCGATAAATTTTTTAATCCAAAAATTACTACTTTAAAATTTAAAAGTTACATTTAAATGTAATGTGAGAATTTTTGTATTAAAAATTTATCAACTATCATTTAAATGACTCTAAAAGTTTTACAGTTTTATAGTATATTATGTATCAAGTTTGATAAACGCCATTTTATACAATAATTTAATTTAAGCACGAGCGAGCTTGCGAGCGAGTGCTTAAGTTAATGAGTGTATAGAAAAGTTTATAAACGAGGTGCATACTATACTTTTTCTAGGACAAATACTTATCTTAAAATGATTTAAATCAAAAATTTGTATAGAGCGCCATCTATGAAACAACAGGGGAAACTGTCAAATGTCACATTCAGATTCACATTTTTACATTTTATAAACACAATTATAAAGGTTATAAATCGAAATGTATCTTGAAAATTGACAGTTTTTCACAGTGAAAGTAAAGGAAATGTTTTATGAGGACTTTACAGTGGAGTCCGTGCCCGAATTTAAGTTATAGTTTACGGCCGGCGAAATTAAAAGTTCAGTACAATGTTCATATAAACTTTTCAAATATTGGCGTTAAGAAACTATTTAATATTTTTGTATTTTTGTACTGAGATAATAAAATAATTTTCACATTTAGTATTATTTTACAAGAAAGGCACTTTATTTTAACGATTGTATGACAGTTGACAACTGTCAAATAACTTAAAACTAACTTCAGCCCGTGACTAAAAACCTGTTGCTAACTTCAGCCCGTGACTAAGCGCCGTAAAGCCACAACTTGTCAATGTGTATTTAAAAGATCACTTAGTGTCATGGAAACATGCACGATAAAGGGCGTTTTAAAGGTGGGAGTAGAAAAAATATTTTTTTGACTATCAATTGTTTTGAGTTGAAAAAAAATATCTTTATAAATTTCTGTTAAAACATGATTTAAGTGCCAAACTTTAATCTTTAAACTTTTATCTAATAATCATAATTATATAAGCTATCTAATTTTAATTTTTCTCCAAACTTAGTAAGACTTATGGAATCATATTTAAAAAATCGTAAAAATTATGTATATATATATATATATATATTATAATATATTACAATAAGTTTTCTTCCAATAATTATAATATGACTTCTGGTGTTCCACAGGGGTCAAATTTAGGGCCATTTCTATTTAATTTATTTGTTAACGAACTTCTTCTAAATCTAACATGCCCCGATCTTGCTTATGTCGACGACATAAAGATATACTCAATTATTAAACGTCCTGATGATGTCAAGATTCAACAAAATAATTTGACCTACATAGCAAATTGTTGTCGTTTGAATCAACTTAAGTTAAATGTTGATAAGAGCTTTATATCAACATATACCAAAAATAAATTTCCAATTTCAGCAACTTATGCTGTAAACAATGACAAATTAAGTAGAACAGGCTTAATCAAAGATTTAGGAGTTACCTTTGATATTGGTTTTAGTGTTATACCCCATCTGAATAGTGTATGTTCATTGGCTGGTAAAATGCTTCGTTTTATTATCAGATCCTCCTATTTAAGTAGTCATGTAGGTATATCATATATCTATATTCATATACCGTATATGAGTATAGATATGAATGTTTATGTGAGATTTGTAAACAATGTGGATTCTGGATGGATGCTTATTTATTTATTTATATATTCTTTATTTTAATAGCATATTTAAAAATATTTTCTTATATTGTATTTTGTCCTGTAATTGGGGGAAACCCTGATGGGCTAATAAAGTTTATTATTATTATTATTATTATTATTATTATAATGAAATTACAACAAGAGAAAAAGATCCAGGTGACATTTTATGAAATGCAGAACATGATTCGCGGGACACCCTGTATATCATAGTATCCATTTTGTTAAAAATTATATTTTACATAAAATTCGATCTTTTCAACAGTTTTTGATTCATTACCAACTTTATTTGAAATGAATAGCAAATTATAACAAGAATTTTTATAATTGCAACTTAATTAAACATTTAAAATTGTGTTTTTTATCCTAAAATGCACATTTTTGAGAGTCATCTGTTACTTGTCACCGCACTTTTAGACTAATAAATTATTTACTAATTTTGTTTTTTAATATTTATTTATTATTTATTCTAATCATAATATATGATTACAACTAAATTAAAGTTCATTCAGAGTTTATTAATTAAATTAATCTTTTTTTATTAAATATTTGTTTATAAACACTATACTGTTAGTTAAAAACTAAAAGTTGTATTATATTTTTAGTATAAATACATTTGTTTTTGTTGTTTAAGCAACTACATAATATATTAAAACAATAAATATTGAACATTGAAGTTTTATTTTGTTTTAATAAGCATAGGTTTAAAAAAATTCTGGCTCCTTCTTTGTTTTTTGTTGCTTTCGTATTCCGTTTCTCGTATGAGGGACCAAATGTAATCACCCATCATGGCTGCATCCCAGAAGCCGTAATACCGCCGTTCCATCCCATGAAACATTTTTAGTTTTATTATGGTCTTCAAGAACGCTTTAAACCAAAATTTAGTTTTAAAGCGTTCTTGAAGACCATAATAAAACTAAAAATGTTACTTGGGATATTTACCCACTCGAACTCTCTACTTTTTTTTACTCATAGTACACTTTTTATTAACTAAATAAAACCATGATAAAAATACCTTGTTGAAATATCAAAAAATATCAGTGAAATGTCACTATGCCCACACGAGAAACAAAAGAATTCAGGTGTGCGGAGTCATGTCAAATTTAAATTTTGAATAATGTATTCGGTGAAAAAAGTACGAAAAAATCCAATCATGCACTTTACTTAGGTTTTCATTAAAGAATATACAATGTATATACATATTACAAAATAAAAGAACAAATTAAAAGAAAAGTCGTCAAAAAGCTGAATTTTGGTCTTCCACTAAAAAATTCACAACTTCGACATTTTTCCATGTATTTTTATCAACATTAGCTTGTTCTTTTTGTAAAATGTCAGCTTCACGAAAAAAAAAATCAAACTGGAGTTATCTGTTTGATTTAAACCCTTCCCAGGACGATATGTAAATTTCCGAACTCAATTTTTGCCATAAAACAAGCTATACTCAAAAACGTCAAAACACCTCCGAAAATTGAAAAAAAAACAATTGAAAATTCATATTTTAAAAACGCTTCCATAAAAAAAATTTTGTGTGATTTTCGTGTTTAGTGGGTCAAAGTACATAATTTTTTTCGATTTTGTAAACTAGTGTTATTTATTTGTTTGTGGGTAATTTCCATACGTGTACAAACGGTTTTTTAACCTGAAACACGTTTGGAATTGCATATTCTGCTCTCGTCAAACTCGCCTTGTGACAAACTTTCACTTGAGCGGAATATGCTGTATTCCAAACTTGTTTCAGAATATTCTATTTTCATGTTATTTTGGGGAGTTTCCTATCAATTTGAAATTGTTTAAGCCCCTGTAAGCATAACAATTCGAAAATACCCCAAAGAAACAATTGGTACCCTAGTAGGTATATATTTGTACTTACATTATCTTCTTTCTTTGGTAGGCTTTTTATCGGTATAGGTTGCCAATCTAGAGGGCCCCATTGTTGGATTTTCGATGGCGGCCACAAGCCGGCATTCGTTAACTCCCCACTAGCCCTCGCTCTAACGACATCTGAAGATTGACAGTAATACAGATCGGGCCAGTAATTTTCCCCCAAAAAATCGTTGTAACGTTTCCGCAAGAATTTGCCTGTCTCGTATTGTAATAATTTTCCCGCCTGTAAAAATGAACGCGTTGAAGTGTGCCAGCGATTTGCCGATGAGTTCAAAGGTCGATGACTTTGTCGATTTTGGTCGATTTAATCCGCAAAATTTATTTTTCAGTTAGCTATCTTAACAGCCTTATATCATATACAAGGTGTCCCTAAACTTATTGACATAAATTTATGAAAAGATTGAGCAAGTAAAAATAAGACGAAAACCTAAATAAATATTTTTCCTAATTACTTATGTTTCCAAGATACAGGGTGATAAAGTGTTACTTATCATATCAGTTTTTTTAATATAACTTCTACTATGGTAGTCTTGGAAAGGTGATATTTTGCGAACAGTCACTTACTACCAAAAGACATATTCACACATAATTACAATTGTTTGAGTGAACACAGTGTCGTAGAAACGGGGGTTGCTTTAAGCTTATTCTCCCATACAAACTTTGAGGTTAGGTATTTGTAACATTTGATGCAATTTTTCAATTACACAGTTCGGCTACCATTAAAAAGGTGTACCTATCAAACTTCGATAAAATAAACGGTTTCCGAGATATTCGAGATTACAATAATTGTATAGCATTATTTAAAAGGATTAAAAGGTAGGTATATGATAACTAATTTTATTTTTTAATTGAAAAAACTAAAAAGGGCATTCCATGAGCCTCGGAACTTTTTGCCCTGACCGTCACATTAAAAAATTGTAGTTTTTTAAATTAAAAAATTTGTTTTAGTCCTTTAATGCGATATAACAATTAATGTAATCTCGAATATCTCGGAAACTGTTTATTTTATCGAAGTTTAATAGTAGTAGCGAACTGAGTAATCAAATGGTATAAAAACTAGAGATGGGAATCGGAAAGTTTCCATTTTAAGGAAACTTTCCGTTTTGGAAAGTTTCCAATTGGGAATTTATTTTCATTTTGAAAGTTTCTTTTAAGCTACCGGAAACATTCCTTGGAAACTTTCCTTGTTTTTTTCATTTAAATGTCAATTGTTTAACCGCTGATTTTCCTTAAAGCCATGATACAAGGCCAAGAAACTTTGAATAAGAATTTAATGTGTGTTAATTTAAAGCAGAAGAAGTATAAATAATGTAAGTTATGTTACATAACCTCAATGAAGCCGGATTATTCAGCATCATCACAAAAAACTTTTAAAAAAAAGGCAAACAAAATAAAAACAATAAACAAAGTTAAAATCATTCTTAAATTTTTGTTGTTTATTTAGCACAATGCCAAGAGAAAAATCTAGTGTTTGGAATTATTACAAAATATTGCATAAAAACAAAAATTTTATCAGTCAGAACTGCAATACTATTTTTATTATCTTTTACTTTTCAATATTCCTTGTCCATTTTAATTTTTTTAAGTAATATCTAGGATTTACTATCAGTGAATTTCTAATAGTAAACATTTTATTTTTATTTTGTAGGTTTCATTATACAATAGAAATATTCCAAAGTAAAAGATACTAAAAATAGTATTGCAGTTACATTCTTATAAACATTTTTTTTATTTTTTTTCTTAATAAAATTTGACAAAAAGTTAATGTGTTATATATTTTTGCAAATCCCTGGCATAAAAAAAAATATTTTCGTAATAAAATTTTTTTTTTTGAATTTTTCTGAAAATTTCGGGAATTTTCAAAGGAAAGTTTCCGGGAATTTTCGTCAAATGGGAATTTTCCCATCTCTAAAAAAACCTAACCTCAAAGTTTGTATGGGACAATAAGCTTAAGCAACCCCTGTTTCTACGACACTGTGTTCCCTCGAACAATTTTAATTATGTGTAAATATGTCTTTTGCTAGTAAGTGACTGTTCGCAAAGTATCACCTTTTTAAGTCTACCATCGTAGAAGATATATTAAAAAAACTGATATGATAAGTAACACTTTATCACCCTGTAAATAAATATTTTTCCTAATTACCTATGTTTAAAAGATAGATATCTTTTAAACATAGGTAATTAGGAAAAATATTTATTTACATTTTCGTCTTATTTTGACTTGCTTAATCTGCTCCTAAATTTATGCCACCTTGTATATAATTTTATCAACATTAAGATGATATAAGAATACCTGTCTATTACAAAACATAAATTAATTATTTCTTGATAATTTTTAAAAAGCTTACATTTGTCAGTTGACCCCACCCAACGGGGTATAAAGTGTCGTTAATATGAGGGTCATTGGGGTAAGTATGATGTGGGGTTCTTATACCATGCCTCATAACCTGAAATTAGGATTTAAAATTTTATAAATTAATAATTCTTTATGGTTTTTAAATTATTTTCAAAAATACTTACAATGTGAACCATCTGTAGCTCTCTAGGGCTATCACCTTGCAATAAGTTTGCAACAGTTAACCTAAAAATGATGAAGAACCCCACAACTCCTACTTTTACAATCATTTCGTTTTTATGTTTAATATTTAATATTTAACACATCTATTTCCTATTTATATAAAACTAAAAATTACTTAATATTTCGTAATAAGTACCTTATTTATTCGCAATGATGACCTAAAGGTTATCCAAAAAATTTCATTATAAAATCGTAGTAGTAAGTTATCTTTAAGTTGAGTGACAAAAATGATATTTCCCAGATTAATTAATAAAAATTATAATTGTTTTAAACGTTGTTTCTTACAGATGCACTTATACGTGCTAGGGGCAACCATTTTGTAAAATAAAACCCTTATTTTATCAGGGCTGTCATCAAACTGTCAATTTATATATGCCGTTGTTTTAAGGATTTTATTTTTTTCTTATATGTAAATATATAAAAAGGATAGTTTGTTTAAACTTTATGTAAGTTTACTTAAAAATAAAAATATTTGAATTTTTAATAGTTTTATAAACACAAAAAAGTATAGTAATTGGACATTTTATATAGTAATTGGACACATGGACCATAGTTATTGGACATACAATTTTTATATAAACACAAAAACTTTACACCAAATAACATAAATTGTTAAATATTTTTTAAAGATAAATTGCTGTTTTAGGCAATTTTTTTTATTTCGTTTTTGTAAATATTATATAATTCATATATTTCTTTCTCGGATTCCTCATCCTTTTTCTGGATTCTGAAGGTAACTCTAATTCCTTGGTCTGACTTCTGAAATAGTTTGTTGCAAATATCATTAAGTGTGGTATCTCTAGTTTGTGAAGCATTTATAATGTTTAGGCCGGAACAGGATGATATTTTTTCGGGTGGTATGTTAAAAGTATTTTCCGAATTTATTAATTTTGTTGCTATTAGTTTTTTATGTTCTCTATCAAGCACTGTATTTAAATCACTGTTATTCTGCAAGATGTCCTGTGACGAAGAAATTATTATATTACTTATTCTCTAAAAGTCAAAAATGTTATAGCGAAAAAGCAGCTACTAATAATTATCGTCAACAGCAATTTGTATCCAGGACATTTAGCAGTCAATTCATATAAAATATTATTCGCTAAATCCGAAAATGTCTTCAAAAGTTATAAAAGTAGAACAGTTTTTGAAATATAGTCAATTTTACATATAATATGGAATTGACTATATCTTAAAAACTGCTTAACTTTTATAGTTTTTGACGGTCTTTTCGGATTCAGGGGAAAACTTTACATAATAATTGGCTGGTAAATGCCCGGGATATAAATAGAGTATGATATTGGTCATATGTCATTTTACTGTTTGTTTTCAGAATTAAAATTAAAACGCATTAAAATGACAATGTTTAAACCATGAGGAACACATTTATACCACACACTGATCTGTACACTTTTTAGAAATATTTTTTATTGTAATTTAAACACAGCCCTGCTCTTAAAAAAAACAAAAATCTTACAACAAAAGCAACGTGCGAACTTTTTTATCTTATATTAGGCCTAAAATGAAGTGGTTCTATATTATTACCGACTGAGATATTTATAATTGTATACAGCGTCATCTAATGATTTAACTTTAAGGTAACTATTTATAGAACAAGTGTCCGATAACTGTCTACTTTACCCTATTAATATATTATTTAGGAAAACTAAAGGTACCCATTAAAAAAAATCAACTCTAAGCAACACTAATTAGAGTTCTCACAGGTCCACACTAAATAGTGTTGTTTTATAACACTACAATTAGAGTTAATTTGTAGTGTAATTTTCCCCAAGTAAGCAAGTATGATTTAACACTATAGCACTGAGGATAAAGTAATTTGACACTGTATTAAAAAGTGTTAATTTACCTAAAATCGTGTACTTCTACACTTCCTGAGTAAAATCCCATTTTTGTTCAGTGTAAATTAACACTTCTTTGAAAATGTTCTAATTTTAGAAAGGTATACTTTTACTATTTTAGTGCAAATTTCTAGTGTAAATTAACACTATTATTTGAGTAAAACCTATTGGTGGTAGTGAATAAAACGAAAAGGTAAATAAAGAGAAACATTTATTTGGAACAAAAATCTATGACAATAATTGTCATAGATTTTTGTTCCAAATAAATTTTTCTCTTCATCAGTAATCCCCCGAGTCAAAATTAAGATCGTAATTTAAACCGTAAGTCTGACAATTTCCGTCTTAAACATAACCAACTTATGACCTAAAACATGGCAGATAAGTCCATTTTCCCGATTTTTCGGTTCTAATTACGTTTAAATTTAAACCAAAAATTTTATTAATCTTAATTTAAATAAATTAAGATTAATTCGGTTGTTCTAGTGCTAAATTGGAGTAAACAGACTGAACAGGTTTTAAATCAGTTTTGGTAGGTCAAAGTACACTGAGAGAAAAAAATGGTTTTTATTACCAAATCTGCATTTTTATAACCAAATGCTTTATTCAGTATTTGACTTACAAACGGCTACGTTATTAAAAACAAATGATTAGCTTCAAGACATTTGGTCATATTTACTTAATAATTTGTTTTTGGTTATTAAAACCAAACCAATTAGTCGTAATAAATAAGTTATTTATTTATAAGAATCAAATTTTTATTTAAAAAAAATATATTTATTTATAAAAAACAAATGATCTTTTTTTGTTAACAAATCGTTTTGTTTTAAAAAATAAGTAATATACAGGGTATTTTAGACTTGTGGTGCCAAAAGCTCAGGGGAGATTCCATTCAAGTATGAAAAAAAGTTTTTATGAACATGTGTCCGAAAATGATTCGTTTCCGAGATACAGGGTGTTTGTTTTTTTTTTAATTGAGTTTTTTATTTATAGCTTAAAAACACTTTTTTATACATTATTATGATTATTTTTGTAACAAAAAAGTATCAAATTTAAACTTTTTTTTTTAAATAAAACACCCTGTATCTCGGTAACGAAGCATTTTCGGACACTTGTTCATAGGAACTTTTTTTTCATATTTTGATGAGAGGAATCTCCTTCGAGCTTTTGGCACCACAAGTCTGAAACACCCTGAATTATTAAAACAAAACATGTATTTTTATAATTTAGCGTTTTTATAAAAATTAGGGTTTTCTATATTAAATAACACTCGGTCATTGATAACAATACATTTTATTTTAATAAAAAATAAAAAACATTTTCCTTAAAAAACATGTTTGCAAACAAAAACTTTTTTTTTTGGTAAAGTAAACTAAACATCTTAAACTTAAGTAAACTAAACATCTTAATTTAAAATTCTTAAACTTAAAAAACATAACTCTGTTAAATTATTTTCAATCAAAAATGTATCCATATTTACCTAATTTAGGTATAAACTATAAAGCACGTCCGGACGCGTCCACTCCCTTTGCACAAACTAACACAATGGCCGAACTAAAGCATCTACGGCGAATAATCAACGTGTTTTATCCTGCATTTGTTTTTTATAAGCAAGCAACAACTCGATTTATTCATACAAACTATATTTGAAAATGGTTTGTTATTATTAAAGTATATTTGTTTTTTATAACCAAATACAGTGAACCAAATCATTTTTTCAAAATAAACTTAAGTTTTTCTGAATATAGTTACTAAGAAGTGCTGATTTGGTATATAGAAGAATTATTTATTATATTTTACCAAATATATTAAAACAAATCATTTTTTAACTATACCCAGACTATTTCTCTCGGTGTAGGTTTAAATTACGATTTAAATTTTGACTCGGGCCATTTTTCTGTTATAAAAAATTGGTGATACCATTGGTAGAAAGGCGTCAGGCGGCTGTATGTCGTGTACAAATTTTCCATAATATTAATAAAAATGTAGGTTTAGGTTAATATAACAACCACCCGAAAAAAATAATGTAGTTGAGTTAACGTTTGCCTAAATGTCATTTTTGAAAATGTTGTTTCATCAAAAAAATAAAAAGTAAATCAAGTGTGTATGTATAAATATATTTATATTATTATTGTTACAAGTACCCGATCTACTGCCGTAAATTATTGATATATAATATAGGTCGGCTATGGACATTTTTGGTATTGGTATTTATTGAGTATTAAGGCTTAAAGAAAAAGGAAGTATAATACCAAAAATAAGAATGTCCCCTTATGGATTCACCGTAATTAAAATCTAACTGAACAAAAATGCCACACTTCCACAACGCGGTATCTCCAGATATGCACTGCGTGTAATTTAACTTTAATTGTGATACAATGTGCACTAGTAGTGTAAAGAAAAAAGAGCTCTTAGTAACATCAAAACAGACAAAAAAATTGGCATGCACTGTATTGTACATTTTGTCACTATTTAACACATTAAGGGGTAATAAACACTCGCATTAAGTTTTTCTATCCTTTTGATTTATTTTAATAATAAATAGTGTGAATATACCAATGAATAATGTTCATATTCTTTAAATGTGTTTAATAAAGTTAATAAGCACTAAATGCTACCTAGTGATTTTGTAGTGTAACTTTTACACTTACAAATCAACTCTAATATTTTACCCCTACATTAAAAAATTTACACGGGCAAAATTTTTTACTGTGTAACATTAGAATTATAATTCTAATGTTACTCTGGGCAGTAGTTTTGCTTAAAGAGTTTATTATTTTTAAGTTATAATGTTGGCGATAGCAGTGCAGTGTAACAAAAGAGACATGGGACGAAGGAGACATTTTTCACGATAAAATAAATCTATTTTCCAAGTGACACAATAATTGCACATAAAATTACATTATCTAAAAAGAAAGAAAGAAATTAAATACAGCAAATACTTGCCGTGACGAAAACAAAAACACACGCTGCTTGTTTGTAACGCGCAAAATAACAATAGCAGAGGCGCCATCTCGTGCCACAATTATAAACCACATGGGTTACTATGGCAAGCCGTTTTAGTTTTTATTACACATGGCTATCAAGTCTCATTTTAATTCGACTTGATTTCTATGAGACATTAGATAATTGAAATTATATGTATTTTCCTTAAGGGAAATTACATTTTTATTATAATTTCAAAATTGAATGCATATTTTCTTTACAAATAGTAAAAA